GCCTCTCTGTGATGATGATTGACATCCAACACAACCAATCAGCATGGAGCATAAAGAGGAAGAGGAAGAGGAGGAGGGAGCTGATCTCAAGTTTTCAACCTGAGACCTTCATCAGAAAAGTAATCAGAGTACTGTCCCTCAGTAATCAGAGTACAGTAATCAGAGTACTGTAATTTGAGTACAGTCCCTCAGTAATTTGAGTACAGTCCCTCAGTAATTTGAGTACTGTCCCTCAGTAATCAGAGTACAGTAATCAGAGTACTGTAATTTGAGTACAGTCCCTCAGTAATTTGAGTACAGTCCCTCAGTAATTTGAGTACAGTCCCTCAGTAATCTGAGTACAGTCCCTCAGTAATCTGAGTACAGTCCCTCAGTAATCTGAGTACAGTCCCTCAGTAATCTGAGTACAGTAATCAGAGTACTGTAATCTGAGTACAGTCCCGCAGTAATCTGAGTACAGTCCCTCAGTAATTTGAGTACAGTCCCTCAGTAATTTGAGTACAGTAATCTGAGTACTGTCCCTCAGTAATCTGAGTAAAGTAATCAGAGTACAGTCCCTCAGTAATCAGAGTTCAGTCCCACAGTAATCTGAGTACATTTGTGTTCAGGTCGCTGTGAGCCTAAAGGAGCTCTGACCGGCAGCAACGCAGGAATCACCAGCATAGAGTTTGACAGCGCTGTGAGTCCTCAGTCCCTCTGATTGTTTACTGTTGTTGTTTACCTGTTTGTGTTTATGTTTACCTGTTTGTGTTTATGTCTCAGGGATTATACCTGCTGTTTATTGTTGTTGTTGTTGTTTACCTGTTTGTGTTTGTCTCAGGGATCCTGCCTGCTGTTTATTGTTGTTGTTTACCTGTTTGTGTTTGTCTCAGGGATCCTACCTGCTGTTTATTGTTGTTGTTGTTTACCTGTTTGTGTTTATGTCTCAGGGATTCTATGTGCTGTTTATTGTTGTTGTTGTTTACCTGTTTGTGTTTATGTCTCAGGGATCCTGCCTGCTGTTTGTTGTTGTTGTTGTTTACCTGTTTGTTTTTATGTCTCAGGGATCCTACCTGCTGTTTGTTGTTGTTGTTTACCTGTTCGTGTGTCTCAGGGATTCTATGTGCTGTTTATTGTTATTGTTGTTGTTTACCTGTTTGTGTTTATGTCTCAGGGATCCTACCTGCTGGCTGCCTCTAATGACTTTGCCAGTCGGATCTGGACAGTGGACGACTACAGGCTAAGGGTGGGTCCAGGTGTCAGAGTTTGGTGGTTTTTGTGTCTCAGGTCAGGTGACCTCTGACCTCACCTGTCCTGTTGCTCCTCCTCCAGCACACCTTGACGGGTCACAGCGGGAAGGTGCTGTCTGCTCGCTTCCTGTTGGACAACGCCCGCATCGTGTCCGGGAGCTACGACCGCACGCTCAAACTGTGGGACCTGCGCAGCAAAGTCTGTACGTGATTGGTCAGCTGCCGAAGGTGTTATGGGCGTGGCCTGCTGCTGACCTCTGACATTTCTCCTCACCTGTGCAGGTATGAAGACGGTGTTCGCCGGCTCCAGCTGTAACGACATCGTGTGCACAGAGCAGTGCGTCATGAGCGGGCACTTTGACAAGAAGGTCCGGTTCTGGGACATCAGGTGTGTTCAAACAGGAAGTCAGTGATGAGTGGTTCGTTTTGGAGGACCAACTCACCTGAACGTGTGTGTGTGTGTGTGTGTGTGTGTGTGTGCGTGCGTGAGGCAGGGCGGAGAGCATCGTGCGGGAGATCGAGCTCATGGGTCGGGTGACGTCTCTGGACCTGAACCACGACCGCACCGAGCTGCTCACCTGTTCCAGAGACGACCTGCTGAAGATCATCGACCTGCGCACCAACGCCATCCGACAGACCTTCAGGTGAGTTCACCTGCTTCTGACAGGAAGCCCTGAACAGGTGAGGCAGGAAGTGTGCTGCTTCTAACAACTAAACAGGAAGTGAACCAGACGTCCTTACCTGCTGTTTACACTAATGTGATAAACAAACAAACAAACAGAGCAAGTTAAGACTGTTTAAAAATAATTAGAGGGAACAAAGAGGAGGACACCTGGACATGTCTCAGTCCACCACAGAGACACCTGGACATGTCTCAGTCCACCACAGATACACCTGGACACGTCTCAGTCCACCACAGAGACACCTGGACACGTCTCAGTCCACCACAGAGACACATAGAGACCAGAGAGACTTAATGAACTCAACCTGCATGTGTTCAGTCTGTAGAGAAAACCCACCTGTGCAGAGGGAGAACATGATGTGTGTGTGTGTGTGTTTTCAGTGCTCAAGGCTTCAAGTGTGGTGCTGATTGGACCAGAGTCACCTTCAGGTGAGTTTCTGCTCCTTTGAGTCATAGATCCAGGTGTGGTTCTGGTTCTGGATCTGGATCTGGATCTGGATCTGTTTGTTTGTTGACAGTCCTGATGGCAGCTACGTGGCCGGAGGGTCCGCTGAGGGAACTCTGTACATCTGGAACGTCCTGACAGGGAAAGTGGACCGAACTCTGGACCGACACCACACGTAAGACCCACAGACCCGGTCTGGTTCTGGTAGTGGATCCAGGCCCATCCTGACTGTCCTCTTCTTGTGTGCAGCTCTGCCATCAACTCGGTGTCGTGGTCGCCGTCGGGAGTGTACGTCGCCAGCGTGGAGAAGGGCAGCAAGGCCATCCTGTGGTCTGACATGTGATTGGCTGGAGAGGAGTGGGCGGGGCCATTGTCGGTGTCGCATGGCGTGACAAAGCAGGGAGACCAGTGGAGCTTTTAATGTTGTTCCGTGTCGTTTTAACTGTGACGGTAGGAGGAGGAGCTCGCTCTGCACGCCGCCTGATTGTTAATAAAGTTTTATTGACAGCTGACGCCGAGCCGAACACTAAAGCCTGCAGAAGAGATGATACTGGACCTGAAACAGGAAGTACTTCACATTAAAGTTTCTGAACTTCATGTGTTTGGACCCCAAACAGGAAGTACTTCACATTAAAGTTTCTGAGCCTCATGTGTCGGCTGGACCTGAAACAGGAAGTCAAACAGGAAGTGGCTCAAGATGTTTGGAAATCAAAACTGAGAGTTTGTGTGGTGTTTATGTCTGAAAGTGTGTAACAGACACACAGCAACACAACACTAATGTGTGTCTGTAACCTGATGTGCCTCTGAGCCAACCAACCAATCAGAGCAAAGCTTCAGTTCTGACCAATCAGAGGCCAGGACCCCTCTCCTGCCAGAGTTTTAAAAAAAATCTGTTCAAATCAAACAGTTTTGTTTAAATTTGAACATAACCTGATCCGTGTGACATTTTGTTTAATCTGTTGGCGCTCAGAGTCTGTGTTGGGGATTACTGTCAGCCACTACCACCCCAGATTATAGCTCACTACCTACAGAATTCACCGAGTTACGTCTGGTTTGTTTGGTTGGCGGCCATCTTGAATCAGACTTTAAAAAAACAAATTTCTCCTTTTGACGACTTTTGAAATGAAGGAATGTGGTTCAACAAACTTTGTTCCTGTAATCAGTTACTGATCAATCAGCTGATTGTGTGACYTCACAGGAAGTGGGCGTGGTCACCGTGTTTGTTTTCAGATTTTCTCGATTATTGCTTTTTTTTTTTTTATTTAACATCTGCTGCAAGGCATTGGGATGAGCCTGGGCGGGTCGTTGTTGAAGCTGTGCTCTGATTGGCTGTCAGGTCTGTCACTCATTAACCCACTACAAGTGACAGGAAGTCCTGATGGATCCTGCAGGTGAGTGAGTTCTGGTCCAGAAGCAGCAGGGATGAGTCTGGTGGACGCTGATCAGCTGATTGATCCAAATAAAACCGGTTTACCCTCAGACTCCCTGTCTGTGTTTTTTATTCAGGTTCTGGGGCTTGAGAGCCAGAATCAGTTCTTGTGAGGCAGAATGTTTTGGTTCTGGTGTATGACTAATATCCTGATGAGGAGGGGGGTGTGTGTGTGTATGTATGTGTGTTTAGCTGCTGTCAGCACTCAAGACTGCTGAGTCTGTCAGAGATGATCGGCTCAGAGGCTCCATCTGATCACATGACGACACCAACATACATGGACTAGAAATCTTTGGTCCAAGAGGGGTCCACAAACTGAGCACTGAATGAAACTGAGCTGAACCCGAGTGCTTCAAGCTAACAGGAACAGAACACTAGCCAAAACCAACGAATCAAAATGCTTGCAAAAAGCAAAACGTTGCAAAACTGAAGGCTAAATATAGCAAAAAGTAGCAACACTAGACACGAGCCAAAAATGAAGAGTAGCTGAATATTAACCAAAATATAAAGTAGCAAAAYGCTAACTGGAAGTTGCCGAAGGTTAGCCAAAAGATAAAATAACAAAATGCTAACTAAAAGTAGCTGAAGGTTAGCCAAAATATAAAGTAACATGCTAACTAAATGTACATAGCTGAATGTTAGTTTAAAAATAAAAGTAGTAAAAGGCTTACTAAAAGTAGCTGAAGGTTAGCCAAAAAGTAGCAAAATTCTAACTAAAAATTGCTGAAGGTAAGCTAAAAGATAAAAGTAGCAAAATGCTGCCAAAAACTATCTGAAAGTTAGCCAAAAGATCTCCATCTTCTTCCACTTATCCGTAGCTGGGTTGGGGAGGCAACAGATCCAGGAGAGAAACCCAGACATCCCTCTCCCCAGCAATACTTTCCAGCTCGTCCTGAGGCATTCCCAGTCTAGAGAGGATACATAATCCCTCCAGCGAATGGTCTTCCCCAGGGCCTCCTACCAGTGGGATGTGCCCGGAACACCTCTAAAGGGAGGCGTCCAGGAGGCTCCTAATTAGATGCCCAAACCACCTCGAATGACTCCTTTTGATGTGGAGGAGCCTCAGCTCTACTTCAAGCTCGCCCCAGATGATGGAGCTCCTCACCCTATCTCTAAGGCTGAGCCTGGCCACCCTTTGAAGGAAGCTCTTTTCAGCTGCTTGTATCTGGGATCTCGTTCTTTCAGTCATGATCCACACCTCATGACCACAGGTGAGGGTTGGAACGAAGACAGACCAGTAAATTGAGAGTTTTGCCTTTAGACTCAGCTCTTTCTTCACCACGACTGACCAAAGTAACGCCCTCATTACCGAGGACAAGCCCTCAATCCATCGATCCATCTCCCGCTCCATCCTACCATCACTCGTGAACAAGACACCCAGATACTTTAACTCCTCCACTTGAGGCAGAGACTCTCCCCCGACCCGGAGGGGATATTTCACCCTTTTCCAGATGAGAACCATGGCCTCAAACTTAGAGGAAATGACCTTCATCCCAACYGCTTCACACATGGCTGTGAACCGCCCCAGTGCATGCTGAAGGTCTTGGTCCGAAGACACCAACAGAACCACATCATCTGCATACAGCAGAGATGAGACCCTGTGCTTCCCAAACCAGACACCCTGCGCCTTGAGATCTTGTCCAAAAACACTACAAACAGAATCGGAGACAAGGGACAGCCCTGGCAGAGTCCAACATCACTGAGAAAAAGCTCGACTTTGTGCCAAGAATATGTACACAGCTCCTGCTTCTACAGGGACTGGATCATCCTTAGTAGCAGCCCAGACACGCCATACTCCCGCAGCACCCCCCACAGAATGCTTCGAGGAACACAGTCATAAGCCTTCTCCAAGGCTACAAAACACATGTAGACCAGAAAGGCAAACTAACATGACCCACTTAGCAACTCTGCTAGGGTAAAGATCTGGTCCACTGTTCCAGRACCAGGATGAAAGCCACACTGCTCCTCTTGAGGTACGACAGTCAATCAGAGCCCCTCTTCCAACACCCTGGAGTAAAATTTCCTGGGGAGGGCGAGAAGTGTGATCCCTTGATAGTTCGAACACACTCTCCAGTCCTCTTTTAAAAAATGGGAACCACCACCCTGGTCTGCCACTCCACAGGAGTTGTCCCAGTCCTCCATGCGATGTTGAAGTGTCAACCATGACAGCCCCACAACATCCAGAGCCTTCAGCATCTCAGGGCAAATCTCATCCACCCCTGGTGCCCTGCCACCAAGGAGCTTTTTGACTACCTCGGTGACCTCTGCCATGGTATTGGGCTCGTCTTCCCCCAAGTCTTCAGACTCTGCCTCCTCAAAGGTGGGCATGAAGGGTAGATTCAGGAGATCCTCAAAGTGCTCCTTCCACCACCCAATGATATCATCAGTCCTGGTCAGCAGTTCCCAAGCCAAGTACAGCCTGGGACAGGGAACACTTTCCTTTTCGGAGTCGTCGAACAGTTTGCCAGAACCTCCTCGAGGCCAGTCGAAAGTCCTTCTCCATGGCCTCCCTGAATTCCTCCCACGCCTGAGTTTTTGCATCTGCAACCACAGAAGCTGCAACCCTCTTTGCCACCTTGTACCTGTCAGCTGCTTCAGGAGTCCTCCGGGAAAGCCAAGTCCGGAAGGCCTCCTTCTTCAGCCTGATGGCCTCCATCACTGATGGTGTCCACCASCGGGTCCTTTGGTTGCCACCGCGACAGGCACCAATGACCTTCAGGCCACTGCTCCTGGAAGCCGCGTTTGCAATAGAGACCCTGAACATGGCCCATTCGGATTCATGTCCCCGACCTCCCCCGGGACATGTGAAAAACTCTCCCAGAGGAGGGAGTTGAAGATCACACGGACAGGTGGCCATGCCAAATATTCCCAGTTCAACCTCACTATGGGTTTGAGTTCACCAGGTCTGTCCAGCAACCTCCCCCACCAACAGATCCAACTCACCACCAGGTGGTGATTAGTTGACAGCTCTTCCCCTCTCTTCACCCAAGTGTCCAAGACATAGGGCCACAGGTCTGATGACACGATTACAAAATCAATCATCGACCTTTGGCCTAAWGTGGCCTGGTACCAAGTAGACTTATAGACCTCTCTATGCTCAAACATGGTGTTCGTTATGGACAAACCGTGCTTGGCACAGAAGTCAATAACAGAACACTATTCAGATCAGGGAGACCGTTCCACCCAATCACCTTTTTCTAGATAACTCYGTCACTGCCCACATGGGCATTTAATTCACCCAATAGAACGAGGGAGTCTTCAGATGGCACCCTTTCCAGGACACTATCCAATGACTCCAAAAAAGGCCGGGTAATCTGAACTGATGTTTGGTGCATAAGTACAAACAACAGTCAGAACCTTCCCACCTGCAGCACGAAGCTGCATAGAGGCAACCCTCTCATCTACTGGAGTCAACTCCAACACAGAGGCACACAGCCGGGGGCTTGTGAGTATCCCCACACCCGCCTGTTGCCTCTCTTCCTGGGCAACTCCAGAGTAGGAGAGAGCCCAAGCTGTGAGTTGAGGTGAGCCCAGCTCTAACTGGTAATGCTCAACCTCACCCACAAGCTCTGGCTCCTTACCCGCGAGTGAAGTTATGTTCCATGTCCCTAGAGTCAGTCTTTGTCACCAGAAATCAGCACAGCCAGGGACCCTCCTTCACCTGCTGCCCAGCATGCATCGCACCCGACCATGAAGGTCCTCCCCGCGGGTGGTGGGTCCACGTGGAGGTGGCCTCCTGTAGTCCTTTCGGACTTCATCCGGCYGAGCCCCATGAGCCAAGGCTCGACCACCAGGCGCTTGCCAGCGAGCTCCGTCCCCAGGCCTGGCTCCAGGGAGGTACCCCGGTTTCCCTATTCCGGGCGAGGTTTCCTGATGTATGTGATGTTTCCTCATCAAGGGTTCTGAATTGCTTTGTCTTACCCCTTCCACGAGGCCTGTTTGCCATGGGAAACCCTACCAGGGGCTAACGCCCCAAACAACATAGCCCCCGAGATCACAGTGAGTGTACTCAAACCCCTCCACCACGTTAAGGTGGCGACTCTGTGGAGGGGTAGCCAAAAAATAAGTAGCAAAATGCTACCTAAAAGTAGCTTAATGTTAGCCAAAAAGATAAGCAGTAATAAATGCTAACTAAAAGTAGCTGAATGTTAGCCAAAAGATGAGTAGTAAAAACTAACAAGAAGTAGTTGAATGTTAGCTAAAAGATGAGTAGTAAAATGCTAACTAAAAGTAGCTGAATGTTAGCTAAAAGATACGTAACAGAATGCTAACTAAAAGCTGAATGTTAGCCAAAAGATAAGTAGCAGAATGCTAACTAAAAGCTGAATGTTAGCCAAAAGATAAGTAGCAGAATGCTAATTTGTGGGGTGTAAACAAATAAATGTGTTGTTCCTGCTCCTGATGGAAACTCCAGGCTCTCCGTTCGGTGGAGGAGCCCTGCAGATCTGCAGGATTACAGAGGTAATGATCCACCTGCTGCGTGTGCACAGATTATAAATACATCTGATCAGAGCTTCAGCTGCTTCACTACAGCTGAGTCCATCATCTTCATCACTGCTGCAGCTGCTGCTTCAGGTCAGTGTGGATCCTCTTTATCTTCTGTTCTGATGTATTTTCTGAAAACTCACCTGCAGCTGTACTGGTTCTGGTTCTGGTTTACTTTATTTTATTTAACCTTTATTTCAACAGGCAAAACATTAAGAACAGTTTCTTATTTACAACTGGTCCTGGTTCTGGGATAAAAATAAGTGGTGCTGCCAATCACTCAGTGAAGGTCAAAGGTCATTTAGACACCCATTGTTCTACAAAGAGAAAAATTATTCTGCTGCTGAAGGAGGTTCTGGATCCAGTTTTTCACATTTGACTTCAAGCTGTAAAAACTTGGTAGATTTTTGTTTCAGGTCAAGAATCTGTCGGTCAAGATGAGTCCAAAACATGTTGTCTTCAAGAAGGTGTCCAGAGACAAGTCTGTGAGTCATCTTTCCATCTGTCCATCCATCCATCTATCCATTTGTCTATCCATCCATCTGTCTAACTATCTATCCATAACCTGACTTGATGCCCCACTTTTCTTGCAGGTGGCGGTCTACATGGCCAAGAGAGACTTTGTAGACCACTGTGATTTTGTAGATCCAGTTGGTGAGTTCTGATGTTAGTTGTTTTTGTTGGTTTTTGATTGCTTGGTTGTGGAGTGATCGTTGTGTGATGCAGTCACTTCCTGTTTCCTGTCTGACAGATGGAGTGATCGTGATAGACCCTGCGCAGCTCAAGGGAAAGAAAGGTGAGTGTGGCTCAGAACCTCCATAAAGTGACGATATGTTTACCGCACTCCAGAACTCCATCAGGGCTTTAGAACCGGATCTAATGTGAGGGTTTCCTCATGTTCCTCAGTCCCATTCTGGATCACATGGTCCTTTAGATCCAGAATCTAGGGGTACATCCTGGTACTGCGATGTCCTCACATTACTCAGTTTTCTGTCTCCTGCAGTGTACGTGATGCTGTCATGTACGTTCCGCTATGGACGCCAGGACATGGATGTGATGGGCGTGGCCTTTAGGAGGGACCTGTTTGTGGTGACCCGGCAGGTTTATCCAGAACTGCAGGACAGAGAACAGCTGACCCACACCAAAATCCAGCAAAGACTGCTCCGCAAGCTGGGAGACAACGCCTACCCCTTCTTCTTCGAGGTGAGGGAGGAGTTCACCCAAGACCAGGGTCTGATCCAAGACCACAGTTTGATCGAAAACCAGGGTCTGATCCAAGCCCACTGTTTGATCTAAGACCAGTGTATGATCCGAGACTAGGCTCTGATCCAAGACCAGGGTCTGATACATGACTAGGGTCTGACACAAGTCCATGGACTGATCCATGTCTAATCAGGACTAAGATCTGACCCTACAGCACATGTCTGAACTCAGGGACATCAATTTAATTTGTCAGCAGTTTTCAAAATAAAAGTCTTTATTTCAGTTTCCAGACAACCTGCCGTGTTCCATCAGTCTTCAGCCCGGTCCAACTGATGAGGGGAAGGTACTGGAACCACCCATCCATCCATCCATCCATCCATCTATCCATCCATCCATCCATCTATCCATCCATCAATCCATCCATCCATCCATCTATCCATCCATCCATCCATCATCCAACCATCCATCCATCCATCATCCAAACATCCATCCATCCAGCCATTCATCTAACCAACCAATCATCCATCCATCCATCTAACCAATCATCCATCCATCCATTCATCCATCATCCATCCATTTAACCAACCAATCATCCATCCATCTATCATCCAACCTTCCATCCATCCATCCATCTAACCAACCAATCATCCATCCATTCATCTATTTAACCATTCAACCATCCATCCATCCATTCATCCATCCATTTAACCAACCATCCATCCATCCATCCATCCATCCATCTACCATCCATCCATCCATCCAACCATTCATCCACCATCCATCCATCCATCCATCCATCTCTTGTGTGTTTGTGTTGAGCAGAAATGTGCTGTTGAGTTCGAGGTTAAAGCTTTCTGTGGAGACAATCAAGATGAGAAGATTGACAAACAGTGAGTGTAGTCCAGTTTCACAGACCTTGAACCAGTCCACTTGTGTTGTCTCATGTCCTCTGTCTTCTGTGTGCAGGAGCTCAGTTCGTCTCACCATCAGAAAGATTCAGTTCAGTCCAGAGAGCACCAAGGTGGTTCCAGTGGCAGAGATGACCTTTGAGTTCCTGATGTCTGAGAAACCTCTGCACGTGAAGCTCAGCCTGCCCAAAGAGGTTAGAATGGACCCGGTTTTGCGACCGGTCACTGGATTCTTCACACATGGTTTCTGTTTTCATCCCAGCTTAATGTAATGAGTTCAACATGTTTGAATCACCCCATCAACATGTAGCGTGTTGGATTTATGATCAGAAATACATACACCTTGTTAGCTGTTAGCCACGCCTTCCAAGGTCACCCATCAAAACCAGCAGCCCTGGATCAGAAGCAGGGACATAATGACAGGACATGAGACCACACCTGAGAACCATCCTAAGTCTTCACATCTGTCCAACTGTGTCTGTCTGTCCGCAGACGTTTTACCACGGAGAGCCGGTCAAAGCTAACGTTGAGATCAACAACTCATCCAGCAGGAACATTAAAGACATCAGTTTGTCAGGTGACATCCTCTCACTTTATACCAAAACCTGTACACCTGTCCTGTGTGTGTGTGTGTGTGTTCATTGTCATGTTTCTGTGTTCAGTGGAACAGGTGACCAACGTTGTTCTTTACTCCAATGACAAATACGTCAAATCTGTGGCCAGAGAGGAGACAGAGTGAGTGTTYCTGTTGTCCAGGTTCTCTGACTCGCATGTGGGAGACATGTCATGTTTACCTGTTTACATGTCTGACAGGGACTCTGTCCCCTCTGGGACCACACTGAGGAAGGAGTACACCCTGTACCCACTGCTGGCGTACAACAAGGAGCGCCGAGGCATCGCTTTGGATGGACGACTCAAACATGAAGACACCAACCTGGCTTCGTCCAGCATGTAGAGACACAAACACACACACACAGACTCACCTGTTCATGTGTCCACACGTCCACACTGCAGGACCCTCGTTCAGACCCTGAGGGACAGGTCTCTGGTTCTTGTTTTGAGACCAGAAAGACCCGAACTTGATGATGCTGTCATGAATCTGTGGTTCTGGTGTTCTCTGCAACACATGTTGCTTCTAAATGTTGGACTGTAACTTAAAACAGCTGTAGTTCTGACAGTAGGCAGCAGGGGTGCTGCAAATGTTTCTGCAGATGTTTCTGTAGGTGTTGATCCAGGTGTTGATGCAGATGTTTCCGCAGATGTTTCTGTAGGTGTTGATGTAGATGTTGATGCAGATGTTTCTGCAGGTGTTGATATAGATGCAGATGTTTCTGTAGGTGTTGATGTAGATGTTGATGCAGATGTTTCTGCAGGTGTTGATATAGATGCAGATGTTTCTGCAGGTGTTGATGCAGATGTTTCTGCAGATGTTTCTGCAGGTGTTGATGCAGATGTTTCTGCAGATGTTTCTGCAGGTGTTGATGCAGATGTTTCTGTAGGTGTTGATGCAGATGTTTCTGCAGATGTTTATGTAGGTGTTGATGCAGATGTTTCTGTAGGTGTTGATGCAGATGTTTCTGCAGGTGTTGATGCAGATGTTTCTGCAGATGTTTCTGCAGGTGTTTCTGCAGGTGTTGATGCAGATGTTTCTGCAGATGTTTCTGTAGGTGTTGATGCAGATGTTTCTGCAGGTGTTGATGCAGATGTTTCTGCAGATGTTTCTGCAGGTGTTGATGCAGATGTTTCTGCAGATGTTTCTGTAGGTGTTGATGCAGATGTTTCTGTAGGTGTTGATGCAGGTGTTGATGCAGATGTTTCTGTAGGTGTTGATGCAGGTGTTGATGCAGATGTTTCTGTAGGTGTTTCTGTAGGTGTTGATGCAGGTGTTGATGCAGATGTTTCTGAAGGTGTTGATGCAGATGTTTCTGCAGGTGTTGATGCAGGTGTTGATGCAGGTGTTGATGCAGATGTTTCTGTAGGTGTTGATATAGATGTTTCTGCAGATGCTTCTGCAGGTGTTGATGCAGATGTTTCTGCAGATGTTTCTGTAGGTGTTGATGCAGATGTTGATGCAGATGTTTCTGTAGGTGTTGATGCAGATGTTGATGCAGATGTTTCTGTAGGTGTTGATATAGATGCAGAAGTTTCTACACTGCAGGTTTTTCTGCATGTGTTGCCATGGAGTGAGGAGTTCTGATTTCTCTGTGTTTCTCAGTGTGAAGCAGGAGGTCCTGAAGGAGGTTCAGGGGATGCTCGTTTCCTACAAGGTGGTGCTGAAGATGATCGCGTCTGGGTGAGTGTGTGCCGCTCGGCGTGCAGGGTAACGTACGTAGCAGCAGGAAGTATMGGAGTAAAAACTCTCATAGCTCCATAAACTCACAGAAACTTTTATGTTAGTTTAGTAAACAGCTGAACTTCCTGTTGATCTTATGAGTCACAGGCTGCTCCTGTCAGTCAGCACTGAGGGAAAAATGAACCCTTTGAACTGACTGTATTTTCTCTGTTTGCTGCTTCTCAACAGGATGGTGGGGTCCAGGTACGTCAGTGTGTGTTTGATCTAACGTGCATGCTCATATTGATAGTATGTGTGTGTGTTTGATCAAACGTGCACGCTAACAGCTCTGTGTGTGTTTCAGTGATGTGTCTCTGGAGGTTCCCTTCAAACTGATGCATCCTAAACCTGAAGCAGGTAAGGACCCACACACCCTGTAGCTCCACCCACTCAACACACCTGCAGAGTTTAGGTTCTGGTGGTTCCACAGACTGGTAAAAAAAAACTAACCTAAACCTTGGTCCTAAACCTAGCCCCCCACCTGTAATTTGCATTTGGACCCGTGGGGACCTGACATTGGTCTCCACGATTCACTTCAGTCCCCATGAGGCTGCTTTTTTTTTGAGAAAATTGTCCCCATGTTGTAGGAAAAACCCGTATACACACACACACACACACAACTGCATCTCAGTAAATTTCTTACTCAGCAGACTGCTTGATTAGAGGTTTAAGTTTTGGGGGGGTTGATGAATTAAATGTATATTTTTGTTCAGTGATCTTTGTTCCATAAAAGCCTTTAAACCATCTCTTATTTTTTCTGCTGCTGAACTTCAGTCAAAGACAGGTAAGAGTTGTGTTTGGTCACATGACCACCCAGAAGATGGATGTTTAAACTGGCTGAGGTTCTACTGTTCTGTGTTGGACCCAGTGAACCTGAAGACATGGTGTTTGAGGACTTTAAACGGGCCTACCTGAAGGGCGTGGTCTACGGTGACGATGATGAGTCCCCCGYTGAGGCATGAACTACAAAGATGGCCGCCAGCAGCCAGAGCTGATCACAATCACCACCCAGTTCATCTGGATCTTCTTGCCTGAGTATTGTCTGTCCTCCAGAAACAAGCCAGCTGTGTGTCTGACCCGTCCTGTGACCCTGACCGGGGTTCAGGACTTCCTGAGCAGTCTGGTCTTGTTTCTGGGAGTCAGAGTGAGTCCTGATGTGATGAAGTGTTAGTTGTGATGCTCTGCTGCTTCAGAAGCTTCTGTAAACTCGTGTTGTAATAATGTTGGTTTAAATTATTTAAAAATGCTTGTTAGTGTTTGAATCTCGGCTGAGTTGTAAAACTGGACCTTCTTGTGTTCTGTTTAGGTTTGTAGGATCTTGACCTTCCTGAGTGTTTTAGTGGATCAGAGTTCAGTTTGTAGTTGTTGTTTTCCTGCTGTTCCTATAATTAAAAAATATTGTTGACAACAGTTTGTGACTTGATTTGTTTTTGTCTTTATCTGATTTTTTTTTATTCCAGAAGTAAAAAGTCTGTGACCTCTCCCCTCACTGAGAGGAACTAAATATTTAAATATTTTTAAACTTTCAGATCCTTCCACTGAACTAAAAGCTTTAAGAGAGACAGATGATGTTTAGGGGAGGATTAAAGTGAACACACAGAGCTTCAACCTTTTTTATTGTGTTTTTTTTTTTTTAAAGAAGGAAAATAGCGTACTGAGGTTATACAGTATTATTGGTTGTAATTCCACGGTTTCACCAGCAGAGGGCACTGCCTCAGTACCCCTGCCTGCCGCCAGGGGCGCCGCCTCCCCTGCGCTTCCGGCGGCCCGCCGCTGGGGGGCGCTGCCTCCCCGGCTCCTCTTGGGGGTCTGATGACAGGATGGCGGAGGCCGGGGAACCGGAGTCCATCGCGGCCCGGTGCCCGGACGAGTCGTCGGATAGCGAGCCGGAGCAGGAGCCCGGATCTCCGCAGAAACTCATCCGGAAAGTGTCGACGTCCGGTCAGATCCGCAGCAAGGTACGGAGGGTCAGAACCGGGTGTGCTTGACGGACCATCCGCGGTCATTCAGCGGACTGGGCCACACWGAGCCCCGGGCTGCTCTGAACCGTRGGAGGCAGAGACCCGTTACACCGAACTCCCGGGAAAGAACCGATACTTTTATATTTCCTACCTTTCGGRGTGGTTTCTTACAGTTTCAGACCTCAGAGAAATTGTTTTCTGATGACTTGAAGTTTGTGTTCTGGTCCGGCTCTAACGGACCGGACCWGAGTTTGTTCTGCTTCGTCTTTAACCGCCACTTTGATGCCTTCCTCCCCCACATCCTCCTCATCCGCCGGCCGCCGGAGGCGACCACAGCCGGCCTCCTCAGCGTCCAAAACCCGGAGCCCGGAACCAACCTGTGCTC